TCCTTCCTCTCAATAGACAGGAAAGGTATAATGTATATTTATTTTAGGGGGGCAAAGAGGGGGACAGGGTCGCACTCTGTCACCCAGACTGTACTGCAGTGGCACAATCTCGGCTCACCACAACCTCTGCCTCCCGGGTTCAAGTGGTTCTCCTGCCTCAGCCTCCTGAATAGCTGGGATTACAGGTGCGTGTCACCACATCCAGCTAATTTTTGTATTTTTAGTAGAGACGGGGTTTCACCATGTTGGCCAGGCTGGTCTAGAACTCCTGACCTCAAATGATCCACCCGCCTTGGCCTCCCAAAGTGCTGGGATTACAGGCGTAAACCACCAAGCCCAGCCATATATTTTATTTTTACTAACCCTTTGTGATTGATAGAGAAAAAAATACATACATCTTGTTCAGAATGGATTTAGATCAATAAGAATCCTTTTTAACACATACTTTAATTGTATATAAATTAATCCATAGTCTCCCATGACCCCCATCATGAGATTTTTCTCACATTATCCAGAAATAGCTCACCTTTAATATAACTCAAGCACCTACAAGAAAATAAGCATTAATAAACATTTCTATCACAGACATAGGGTATGATGCACCATCCCAAAAAGAAGGAGGAAAAAGAAAACTAAGTGAAGGCAGCAATTCTATTAGGATATATCTTCTATGCTTGGTTTGTGCACTCGAACATAAGAAGCTTAACCACAGAAATCATCTTTTAACAGTATCTGATGGAGTACTTTAAGTATTCTAAGGGAAGATAAGATTAAAAATAGTCAAACTCTAATAAAGAATGAGAACTATACTCAAGCTTAAGCATTACTATTAAATACATCTATATGTATATAATAGATTTGTATATTAATTTCTAATTCTTTTCTATTTTAAAAAATAGTGAAAATCCTCAGGCAGTTGTGGTTTACAAGAGCATTCTCTGTTCTGGTCCAGAATTTTTTGTTCTTACATTTATTGGAAACTATGGATCCTCTTTCATTTGGCCTATTCACATCACATCCTGCTATCAAGGTCTTTACCACTAACTGCATCACAGTCTTACCCTCCAGTTACATGATCAAACAAGTCAAGTCTGGATTCTTCCTAAAAGACATTTTCTCCAATAAACTTGCTGTTAAACATCTGAGTTGAGTCATTTACCACGGAATGGGCACAGTGCCTTGTAGCACCTCTCTCATCTATGCTATGAGTGAGTCCACACTGAGTGAGGGGAGTGTCTTAAGGATGCTCCTTTGAATGGAAACAGTAATTTCCAGAATGAATTAGAATTAAAGATCCAGCACAGGCAAAAATGCATGTGGATGGTATATCAGGACTCTTAACGGTAGCAAAGAAAAAACTCGGAGCAGCTTCCATGAGAACTTGCATCACTTCACATAATGAAAAGTCTAGGGGCAGGAACTCATTAAGCCAGAGAGGCAGCTCCGTGACATCAAGCACTGTACAACCTCTCACAACCACATCCAATGGCAGAACAAAGTGGCTCTCCAACTCTAGATCCTTTCATGAGGGAGGGAAACCTTTCTCAAAAACCCCCAAGTGGAACTGTCCATGAGAGTGTACATAAAAAAAAACCTGGATCACGTTCCCATGACCTAGAAGTTAGAAAAATGTAAATCTGATATTTTCTGCTTCTAAATACAACACTTGCTTAATAAAATTGTAATAATCCTTCCTAACAGCACAAATTCAGTTTTATTCTTGTGCCATCTAAATTCAAATTTACTAAGGTTTAGAAATAATCTAGTTTGATTGGTGGCATTTTTTTTTTATTTTAAAAACGAACCTTATCTATGTTAGGCCTACTTCGAGGGTTAATATTTTGAGGGTTAAATATTTTCAAACCATATACACTGTTAGACATCAGTACTAATTTCCAAAAAAATAATATTAATGCTTACCCAAAAAAGAGAATCTTGAAGCAATTGTAAGCCTAAAACCATAACAAAAGTATATCTTTTTTATCCTCTATCCTTTTCATATCCTTTGTAGAACAATGTATCTATGAACTTTGATTCTGTTCTTTTCAGCATAACTTTTTCAACAGTCATTAATGTAAATAAAGTGGCATGACAAAGTCAGTACCCTAGAGTTAATAAAATGTGTTTCTACTTCCAGAGCAAAAATAAATGACTGGTCAGCTTGAACTTTCTAGAATGTTAACCATCTGCCAAATTATTCAGAACCTTCCTAGGAAGAGCCATGATCCTCCACACACTAATTAAATGAGTCAATGCTGTAATCACACTTTAGATAACTAATCTATTTCAATCCTGATAATTTAATTACCTAATTCTGGTAAACAAATTTCAACCTTAGTCCAAAATGATTAGAGGATTAAAGTTGAAAATCAGTGAATGCAAACTGAAATAGATCCACACAACAACATTCAAAACAGTTTATTTCTTTAAAGTATGTTTATTATCTCAAATTCAAGAATTAATATGAACTATCATGCCAAGGTTTTCTAAACCAGTTCTAACTGATGTCATATCTCTTATAATTATATTAAATGAATTCCTACTTGTTAGATTTACAATTCCTTAACAGGGTAGTCTTCACTGACATGAACACTACACAAAACATGAACACTATCTACACTCACCCGTCTGTTATTTTTTTTCCATATCACATTTCACCTCCTATTACATATATGTTTATGTGTTTCTGTTACGTACGTCCAGTGCTGCTCCAGAGGACACAGTGATAGATTATCTTCACGCACCATCTCTAGCGCCTAAAATGCTGCCTGACCTGCAGTGGTGCTATCTCGGCTTTCTGCCTTGTGGGCTCAAGCAATCCTCCCACCTCAGCTTCCTGAGTAGCTGGGACTACAGGCACAAGACACCACATCCAGCTAATTTTTGAATCTTTTGTTGAGACAGGGCCTTACTATGTTGCCCAGGCTGGTCTCAAACTCCTGGGCTCAAGTGATCTGCCTGCCTAGGCCTCCCAAGGTGCTGGAATTACAGGCATGAGTCACCACACCTGGCCTTATAGACACTTAAAAAACAACAACAAAAAAAAACCTTAGAAATGTGAACTTACAAATAGTAAATCTGTATTTTTACTGATGTACTTTTCCCTATATTTTAAATTATGGTATAATGATTACGATAACAAGAACAATAAACAAATTACAAAGAAAAACAAATGATTGCTACCACCACCACTGCTACCACAAAAGGCAGTCACTAGTCATAAAATATGTTGTGTTCTAATCATGGAATAAACAATTTAATTTTGTTTTTATTATTATTTTAGAGACAGGGTCTCACTCTGTCACCCAGGCTGGAGTACAGTGATGTGATCGAAGCTCACTGCAGCCTTGAACTCCTGGGTTCAAGCAATCCTCCCACCTCAGTTTCCCAAGTAGCCAGGACTACGGGATCTCATCACCACATCCAGCTAATTTCTTTTTCTGGTTGAGACAAAGTTTTGCTATGTTGTCCAGGCTGCTTTCAAACTCCTAGCCTCAAGAGGTCCTTCCACCTTGACATCTCAAACCACCATGCCTGCCCATTTAACTCTGATAATGAGTCCACTATGTAGGTATTCCCATTTTATGGTAAGGAAATTGAGAATCAAAGAGGTAAAATAAGATTTCCAAGGTCAGGCAGAGATACATAAGCAGATCCAAAACACCAGAGCTCTGACTCTTAACCGACCAATACCAATTTGTGATATATAAGTATCATTAAAGGACAAAGGCTATTAGTATCAGTATCATAGTAGCAGGGATACAAAGTCCATCTATACAAAGAGCTAAAAAAAGCACAGTACTCATCGTGATTTCTTTTTTTTTTTTTTTTAATTTATTTATTATTATTAAACTTCAAGTTGTAGGGTACATGTGCACAACGTGCAGGTTTGCTACATATGTATACTTGTGCCATGTTGGTGTGCTGCACCCATCAACTCGTCATTTACATCAGGTATAACTCCCAATGCAATCCCTCCCCCCTCCCCCCTCCCCATGATTAACCCCGGTGTGTGATGTTCCCCTTCCCGAGTCCAAGTGATCTCATTGTTCAGTTCCCGCCTAACTCATCGTGATTTCTATACCTGAAGAGCAAGTTGCCAAAACATGAGACATGTTTAAAAATTAAACATCACTTGTGTCTTTCTTCCAAAAGAAATACCTCAGAGTCACTGGTCTAGCAGATAAATGTAGTTAAAGTATAAATAACTTATGTTCTCATAACCTGAACTTAGGTTAAAATACTCAAGGAAAACTAGTGTGTTAAGCTACTTTTTCCTAATCCAATTCGGTTGTAAATTGAGCCAAAATCATTTTCTACTGTCTTTCTACTGATTGCTTCTTCATTGGCTTCCATTTTATATTTTTCATCCAATCCATTTATTCACAATTTGTATATGACTAGTCAAGCTCATTTGTTTTCCCATGAAATAAATGCAATTGATTCTGTGTGCCAGTCATGGTTTCTTAGACATTTAGTCGTTACTTCCGCCCACATATTTCATGTGTCCCTAGAAAATTGGCAGCCACATAGAGGCCTAATGCTCCTTTTAATATCAACATTTATAATTTGTTACAAGATAATTTTATTCATAGGGAGATTCACATTACTAAGATACACTTCTAAGCCACTATTATGTACCTCGATGTAGACAGTAAAATCAGTCTCACTTTTCTATAACGCAAATATCACTCTGATTTATAAGTGACATTAAAAATCAATGACTACATTAATTCACTAACAAGGAAAGGTGACAGAGTAGTCCCCCCACAGTGTTTCTTAACAATGTAACTAGCTAAAAAGCACAAGCAGCTTAAAAGTTATAAGACGAGAAACATTTTTAATTTAAACAAATGTATAATACTTGTGCCCTTAATTATACATTCAGAAGCCCTCTGATTACAGTTGCCCACAAACTTAAGCACTTCATTAAACAAATGTGTTGTTTTCCATATGAAAACATGTTCAGCAGTATTTTTCAACTTGACAGTTTTACTTACTGTCTTAGAAGCAGTATTAATGTACTGCATCACCATTTCTTTTTTGATACTGAAGTCCTTTTCCCGCAATGGTGCCTTTTTATCTTCATTTAAATTCATATCTTCCTGGAAAACACAATTAAAATGCCTCAGTTTGGAATCTAAGTAGAGCAGCAATTCTACATGCACTACGAATGGAAAAATCAATAATTTGTGACTAAAGCAGCATTAATTGTTTTGGAATGATTTACGTGTAGTTCTGCCTGAAGGAAGGAGAGAAAAAAGAGCTGGAGAGGGAGAGAAAAAAGTATTCTAGATCATTTTAACAGGTAAAATACTTACCAAAAGAACTTTTAAAATTCACAGCAGGCAAATAAAATTATATTCACATCACTATAGATAATTAGACAGTTGCAGATTTCTGCCATTCATAAGGTCATTAGGATTCACAATTTCAATATATTTATGTATTTTTACAACAGCTGCACCTGAAGCTATCTTGCACTTGCTTTGAAAGAGCTGCGTGTGAGTCATAAAAATTAAAAAGCAAATAAACCAACCAAGTTTCAGATTCTGATAGCCGCAAGCACATATCAAATATCCAGTACTGATTCCAGCAAAGGACAAAGCACTTTATAGTTTTGTCTTTTCCCTACTCTTATCAAAAATGTTAACTAGTTAACTTATTGAATGTTCTAAGTTACATAAAAGTGGTACTTATAAAAACAGCTACCACCTAAAATCGAACATTTCTCAACAGCACCAACAAAAATAAGGGTTTAAGTAACCAAGATCTTGCTACAAGCTTAATTTTAACTACAAATTCAAGTCAGGTATATATCCACATAAATATATGAATTGCTCTTAATTAAGCTGCTGAAGTAAGAGGCTGTTCTGGCAAAGGAAAGGGCGTCTGAGGTAAGACAGAAATGGCTAAAGGAGAAGGGCAGCTCAAATGAATGTCCTCGTGAACCTAGCCCTGAGTCATTTGTGATGTGCAATGTAAAATATCTAAATGTATATAAACTTCATATCTACTCAGAATGGATCATAAAATTCAGGACTTTGGATCACCTATGGAGCCTAGCAAATTAAATTTCTTACAGATTTTATAAGGGTGCTACATTCATCAAACACTGTAGTTTATGCCTTTAGCTGACTCAATTCTTGGCTACCAAACCCTTCAAGCACTTAAAAGTCAAAATTCCCTTCATTTTACCTTGATAGAAATATTTAAGATCTTAGAAGCCATTCCATTTGACACTACAATAAAAGGTAGTAATTAGTAATGTCACTTTTGCTGTTTTAGTTAGAAACACCCAATTATGTGAATAAAGGTTTGTTTTGTTTCGTTTTTCTTGTCTAAGCTAGTGAGGGAAGGCTCAGTAGGCCTTAATACGACATAGGAAGCATTTTGGAAATTTTGGAAACTTCTTGAGGCATATTAGTTGTCACAATAATTGAGGTGATGCTACCAGCATTTACAGGGGTAGCATCACAGTTTGACCTGTACAGTAAAAACTACCTTGTGCCCCACAGAGAGATTCGCATACCTTAAAAAAAGAGAGAGAAAGAATCATCCTTAATTAAGCCTAATTCAATGGAACTGTTGCAGGACAGGTGAGCCCCAAATTTGGGGCTTAGCCCAGCGGGGCTCATGGCTTCATCATAGAAAGAATTCAAAGGCAAGGTGGTGTTACACAGCAATCTTTTATCGAATGGTGCTGCTCCTTGCGGAGCAGGGCTAACTCACAGGCAGTGTGCCCAGAGTCAGCAATGTATGGGCTCTTGGCAACTGTAATTATACTCACTTAAACCCATTTAGCTATATGCAAATTAGGGGGTGGGTCACTGTAAATTATTACTTAGAATTTTCTAGGAAAGGGGTGGTAACTTCTGGGCCATTGCCATGGCATTTGTAAATTGTCATGACGCTTGTGGGAGTGTCTTATGCTAATGAGTAATTAGGGCCGCTAGGGATTGCTTTTGCCCCATCTGCCAGTTTTTGCTGTTTTTTTTTTTTTATACTTTGTCTGGACCAGTTTCTGTTTTGATCAGCAGTGTTGTGACTAGAAAACACGTTCTGCCAGTCTCCTATTCCAGAAATAGATGTAAAATGTAAAATTATTACGTATTAAATACTTTATATTGCATGGTTTTACTTTACTGAATTTTCCAAGAATCAAACTATTCTGTAAATTATAGTTACATTGTGCTTTTTTTAAGCTTTACCAATACTTGTGCTTCATCTCTGAAATGTAGATGTCCCAGGGAAATACTGTTTGTGGTATCTGAATCCCCAAAACAGCACAACTATATCAATCTACCAATCTACAATGCCACTGCTATATACTCAGAGAGGTATGAAGCAGAGATTCAAGAGTGTGAATTTACTATACTTTCTTGAGTAGTCATGGCCAATTGTTTAAATTGAAATACATATTTTTATTATATAGTACAGTAAGACATATTGATTTTCTTAATTTATGAACATAGGTAACCTTATCCACAAAGAATTTCACTGGAAGAAAGTAATGAGATAGTTAGGAGATAATTGTTAGAAAACGTGGGGGAACCTGAGAGCACTGGGAAATTCTGTTTTAAGTTATTCACTGTATTTTTATTTTCAGGCTAATGGCTAAACATTATCCAGTCTCTTTAGTAAATTAAAATATTTAATATATACAGAATACCAAAAAACAGAAAGTCCTTTAGTTATGGCTGAAACTGAAATAAAACTTCAAGGTGAGTAGTAGAAAGAATTTTTTACAAAGGCCTCTGCTTTCTTTTTGGAAACACATCTTGATGATAACACCAGTTCATACACAAAAGTGGTTGTGCTTTCTTTTTGGAAACACATCTTGATGATAACACCAGTTCATACACAAAAGTGGTTGTGATGGTTAATTTTGGGGGTTGGTTAATTTTAGATGTGATGGTTAATTTTAGGTTAGTCTTCTGGCTTAAAGTACACCCAGATAGCTGGTAAAGCATTATCTCTAGGTATGTCTTTCAGAAGAGATTGGCACTTGAATCACTGGACTGAGTAAGGAAGATCCGCCCTCATTGTGGGCAGGCACCATCTAATCAGCTGAAAGCTTGGATAGAACAAAAAGGCAGAAGAAAGGCTAAGTCTCCTCTCTTCTGGAAATGGGACAAACTTCTTCTGCCCTTGGACATCAGAACTACAGGTTCTTCAACCTTTGGGCCCTGGGACTTCCACCAGTGGCACTCTCCCTGGAGTTCTCAGGCCTTAAGCCACCTCCTCAGCCTCCAACTGAGTTACGCCAACAACTTCCCTGGTTTTGAAAATTTGGAACCTGAACTGAGCCACGCTGCTGACTTTCCTGGTTCTCCAGTTTGCACACAGCATACTATAGGACTTCTCACCCTTTATAATCATGTGAGCCGGTCCTCCTAATAAATCCCCTCTCATAGACAGGCAGACATCCTATTGGTTCTGTTTCTCTGGAGAACTCTGACTAGTACAGTGATACATCTGGAATTAAGGGAGAAACCCGAAGTTCCCCCAGCTGCTTCCAATGGTTTATCCCACCTCTTTTGCCTAAATATGGCACTCACCTTCCTGACAAAAGTATGATGACAGTCATAGTGTAAAAAACAAAAAGGAGACAAATAATACTTGCTCCAATTTGGATGATGTCCCATGCAAATCTCATGTTTAAAGTTGATCCCCAGTGTTGGAAGTAGGGCCTAGTGGGCGGTGTCTGGGTCATGGATGCAGTTCCCTCATTAATAGATTAATGACCTTCCTGGGGTGGGGGCGATTGAGTTCTTGCCCTATTAATTCTCATGAGAGTAGGCTGTTAATAAGAGTTTGGAACCTCCCCACCACCTTCTCTCTTGCCTCCTCTCGCACCATCTGATCTCTGCACACACCAGCTCCTTCTTGCCTTTCATCATGAGTGGAAGCTCCCTAAGGCCCTCACCAAAAGCAGATGCTGGTCCCATGTTTCTTGTATAGCTTGCAGAATTGAGAGTCAAATAAACCTCTTTTTTAAATTACTTAGTCTCAGGTATTCCTTTATAGCAACATAAAAATGAATTAAGACAATACTACAAAAAAAGTTTGGAATCAATTACATAACACCCTAAACCTTTGTGGGATACCCACTAGGCATGTAACTTCATCTAACAGGTCATTCTCCATATGTCCAGGAGGAAATGGCACTTGAAAGAGTAAGAAAAGCTCTGCCCTTTAAAAAAGGGGAAAAATTACAGAGAGAGAAAAAGAAATAAGGGGGCAGTAGAGAGAAAATATGAGTGAAAGCATTAGGGGTACGGTATTTTTAGAATATATTTTGAATTTCTATTTATGGAAAACAAGGTTGAAAGAAGAAAACTCCACGAGGCAGTGGCACTTAACTTCAGGGAGTCACAAAGTCCTTAGAAAATTTATTGGGAGTTTTTTTTCCTAAAAAACGCATATCCATATTTTATGTTGCAATTCCAGAAGGGTTAAGCATCTCCCAAGGCTATCTAAGAAACTAGACTTGGGAAAGGTCAGTGGGGGAGAAGTGAGCAAGTCATCATTTTTTATGCTTCTTAGTTTATATTTCCTCAAAATTATCATGTTGTATCTCCATTATCTAAGGTCAGTTTCCCTTAAAAGCAAAGCCTGAAACAGGGATTCAGGTGCAGGTGGGGCTGCTCTCAGGATAGAGTAAAGAAGGTAAGACAAAAGAGGAAAAAAGACATACTAAAGGTGGCCTCTGGTGGATTCTCACTTCACCCTGAAATGCACCACAGTCAAGATAACCTGGTAGCAGAAACCAGCCTCAACAACCTCAAGTTAGTCATTCGCTGCAGAATCCTAGTTCTGATGAGGGCAAATCTCTGGAGAAAGGGGCATCTATGAGCCATTAGAAGCCAATGCTCATCACCTGGGGCATGGGTGCACCAACCTGGTAAAAAGGGGCTGGGAGGGGGTACCCACAGTACTCACTATACCATCTGAACATAATTTACTTGATATTAAAATAAGACTTCTTTCAAATTGAACTGAATAAATATAGAAACACATATAGATGACCTTAAAAAAAAAAGGCAATATAAACTATTGTGTATTAACTGATCCTTCCATTCAAACACAGGTCAGTAAAAC